CTGCATACTTAGTTAAATATTCTTACTTTATCTATTACAGATTTAAAATGCTTAATTAACTCGTTAAATTTTATCGAATATATGTACATATAAATTTTTTGATATCTAGAATCCACCCTCCGAAGATGTCTCATATTTTTATGAATTGAATATATTTTTATTATATTATATTTACTTAAATGTGTATTTAATAACATATTATGCACGTAATATATGACTTTTAATATAAAATGAGATGAAATATTAATATAAAAATTATGAGAAAATTTGATATTTGGAGAAAGCACGATCAAAATCATTTTTTAAAATGATTTAGAAATTTTATTATTGTTTACTAAAATGAGAAATTCATCCTTTTTTATTATTTTATTTTATATCAAAAATTCATATACTATTCATTTTATAATCTTTTCATAATCATGGCAATTTTATAAAAAAAAGAAATTTCACTTTTGAATACCTTAAAACATGATTTTAACAGATATACTCTTTTAAATTTCAAGTTACTTACTTATTAAAGTGGTATATGGCATTGTAGATGTATCTATAAGAGAACATGCTTCATCTGGCATTATAGCTTTTTGATCTAAAAATGTTTAATTTTTAAAATAATAAAGTAATATAGTTTGAGTGTTCGAAAAATAAAATGTCAAGTTGAACTTACTTGATTGCTGTAACTCTATAATATGTTGATCTCTTTTGTGAAATATCATACAAACATAACCAATATCACTGTAATAAAATATTCTTATTATACATTATAGTTTATAGATCTGTAACATGCTATAATCATTACTTACCATCCACTAGTAACATGAGCAATTAACTTTACTTTATGACCTTGTGAATTTTCTGTCGGATATAGTTTTTCTAAATTATGACAGACAATCTTTTCTTCGTGAAACATATCTCCATCAACTTTTTGTATTTTAATTTTAAGTGTTGCATTTTTATTTGTGAAATGATAAATTTTAGAACCATCTAAAGAACGCCAGTCATGATGTTCAGTAATCCATGAAGGATATTTGCATCTGTTATGTTCTTTATCAACTATAAATAATATAAAAAATTAAAATTTTTGATCAAAACAAAAAATTTTTATATACCTTTTGTAAGTTTTATAGTTGGTGATCCTTCAGAAACAGTAGTTAAGCCATTACAAGTTGGCTCGCCTGATTGAGCGAGTAAATAAACTACTTTCCCCTGATGATGTGTTTTTTCTTCATATAAAAAACATCTAATTCAAAAAAAAATAAAAAAAATCGATACTGAATATGAAAATCAATTTTTATTATATTAATAATGACTAATAATATACATGCATATAGGAAAGACCGAGACAAGTTGATACATTTCTCAGTTTCTAATTTTTTCAATTTTTGTTTAAATTAATTACCTAATAAATATACTAAAATATTGGCTCTTCTATATGTGAATATTTGAGAAAATACATATAAAATAAATTAGAAAATTTTTATTTAATGAAATCAAAATGCATCAACTTACCCCATAGCAGGACAAGTTGATACTGCTCTGTTATTAAATATTAATACATATGTAAAATATCTTGTTATTATTCCATCACTTAATAACTATTTTTATTACTTAAAATATGTTACTTCAGTCATGTTGATTATAATATAATTATAGTTTATATTCTAAATTATTATTTAAAATTTGATAATATTTCGAGTAATTTATTTTTACATCAGGATTCCTATTTTTTTTAGTAATATGTCTTAATAAAATCATTTTATCTGTTTTATATATATTTGCATTTTGATAATGAGCCTTCTTTTGTAGTACAAGCTTTGTCAAAAATATCTTAGAATATTTCATCATAATATTCTTTACATAATTGTGAACCATTTTTCTAGAAAAAAAAGAAAAAATCTAATTAGAAATAATTGGAACAAATTGATACAACATATTTCAAAGAAGATGTATCAATATGCCTCACAGAAAATTATTACATAAAAATATCTTCATAAAAAAATATATATATAAATAAAATAAAAAAAAGTATTATTTTTAAATAATTTAATGTAAAGAGTAGACTAATTTGAATTATAAAATTTTATGTAATATCTCTAAACAGATTAAAAAATCGACATAAAAATTTTTTTCCATAGAATAAAAACAATGTAATATTGACATTCTATAAACAGCAATTAATAAAAAATATATATCTATATAAATATGAAAACTATATATATATCAATATGTATCTATAATCTAGTTGTATATATAGAATGTGCAAATAATTTTACTGTATCAATTTGTCTTGGTCTATCCTATATATAGTATATACCTATATGTTTTTTCAGCACCCGATATACTTCTTCCTTTCAACGTTCCAACAAGATATTTATTACGACCATCGTTCCATACAGCAAGACATTGTAATTCTTCCGCTAAAATATGAAAAAAATGCATATCAATAAAAATAATATAAAATATATAAAATAATATATAAAAATAATATAAAAACATACTTATTCAAGAAATTTATTTTTATAATAATAATGCATATTCAATAATCAATTTATAACAATAACTTACTGTTACTCTCACTTCGTTCAATATCCGGACAAGCCTGATATTTAAGAAGTAATTTACTTTCATCGGTGCATTTTTCTCCAAGACTAATAGGCATTGCACATTCACCAAAACCTTTATCATAGGTAAATGTAAATGATGGTCCACTGAAAGGGCAAGGTATTGGTTTAGAATTAACACGAAACATTGAATATAAAGTATCATCGGATTTAATTGTATTTGAGCACATATCATCCAAAGTGGTTTGTTCAGAATTGCACCATCCTGACAGAAAAAAGAAAATAAACTACATTTGAGAAACAAAATATCAAATTATAATACATACATTTCTTGCAAAAAAATTTGGACTAACCTTCACGAAATTGAATCACATTCTCATGTCGATCATTAACAATTATACAATAATAACAATTATCACCGCTGAAATATTATATAACAATTATATAATTTTGCTTGTATCTTGTATATTAATCTTTTTCTATCTATTTATTCTCAAAAGTATTATTATTCCAATACTTACTATACAATATAAGAATGTTCTGATCGTTCTACACACATTCTTTCACCCAAAAATGTTGCATTTACAGTAATTGATACCGGTTTTCCATATTGATACCATTCTCCAGTCCATGCAATGGGAAACTCGCATAAGCCTAAGATAATTTTTTAAGACATTATTTGTTATTTCACTTGTTTTCAATTATTTCTTTAATATCATTTTAATTGTGAATTTTTTTTATAAATATTTAACTTCTTCAAAAATAAAAATGCAATTGAATCAAATAACTATTCTTGTCTATTAAATAGAAATTTGCACTTTTTAATGGTATTTGTTCTGTTATCCTAATATATTGTCGAACATATAATTTCACATATTATTATATAATAATTTATAATAATTTATAAAAAAGAAAAATAAATTGTTCTATTATATTAAATCACAAAGATAACAAGAATTAATTATTTTTCTGCAATTCAATAAAACATAATATTCTTTAAAATTTGCTTTACATTTGATTTGATACGAACAATTTTTATATATACTTACCATTTGCAAGATGTACATCACTTAGATATAATAGCAACAATATTAACATTGTTGCCATATAGCAAAGACGTTTTTCTTGATATAAAAAAAATTCTTGCATTCTGAAATAATAAAATAAATATTATAAATAGATATTATAAATAATTGAATATAGTAGATAATAAATAATCTTTGTTATTATTATTATTGCTTTCGTCATTTGCAGTCATTATAAAATAATTTAATCATTTTTGTTCAACCACAAAAAATTTTTTTTCATATATAATAAAAGTAGAATTTTAATGTATTATATAAAAGATTAAAATATCATAAAATGATAATAGTATATATACAATAAACAATGGTTTCATTTATAAAAATATATATTATCTATTTATAAATATTTATATATATATTTATTTTATAAATAAATATAATAAATATAATATTTTTAAATTGTTAATATTATTTGTATCATTCTTATTATAAAATTTCCGCAATATCACAATTTAAATACATTACTCATATACTTTTTTAAAATAAAAAAATCATAATAATGAAATAAATGTAAGGAAATGTTACAATTATTAATGATTGAAAAAAACGTATGTAAAAAATTTGACAGGAGAAAATTTCCGAGAAAAATGCATTATTTAGCAAAGTACACGTGTCTCAATTGGTTTCGTTCAGTGTTTTCTTTACCGCGAATCTTGTGCATTGTATATATTTTTTCATACCCTATTATTCGTACGATGCGCGAATAGGAATGGATCTGCGCATACCAATAATTCTAAATGTTAAATTTTTACTTCATTTATTAGTCTTATTTATTGTTTTTTAAAATTAAAAAAAATCAAATTTTTTTATTTCTATATTCCTTTTAATTTTTATATTTTATTTCTAAAAGAATATTTTCATAACATATATTATTGTTTTTTCTATCAAAATGTGTTTAATCGAATTTGTATTAATGTTAAGATGTATATCCATCCTAATTTAATTAAATCTATTTGTCAAAACAAGATGATACAAATTTTGAATAATTAAATTTATTATTTTCTTACTTTTATTATTGATATTAGAAATACTAACCTTTTTATATTGATCATCACAAACGAAAATGATGGAAGAAACAAATAGTAAGATCTAGAAAGTATCACATAATGTTCCACAAAATTCAATTTTTAGATATAAAAATATTTTTCGAATTTGCTTCAAGCAGATTATAATATAATAATAATAAATAATTAACAATTACAAAATTTGTAACACTATATAAACAATAATTTTTAAAAAAGAAAAAATAAAGAATGACTGCAAGAAATGAAATTTTGACTTTTTTAATTGTTAAAAGTTTTTCCTGCAACAATTAATTCAATTAATCAGCAATCAAAGAAACGCATTAAATATAATTGGATTGTCTATTAATGAAGATTTTTCTTTCACTGATTCTAGCATGGAAGAACACTTAGCACCATTATTATCACTGCAGAAATTATGAAAGCATCACATTAAGAAATAAATATTGAATGTATTTTTTATCTTCAAAATGCGATTTCTAAATTCTTTTGTCGATTTTTTTAATTCTACACAAGTAAATAAGAAAATAACATAAAATTTAAAGCATAGAACATGCTATTTATTATTCCTAATTTTTAATCAGTTTCTATTGATAAGGAAATACAATATTCACTATTGTATATTAATTTTAGTCTCTTTGTTCGTTTATTCATTTGCTCACTTTAAGAAACAATGGCGACTATAGGCAGCGAGCGGAACGCCGCTGCAACTATTCTTACGGTGCGATATAACGCTGCAGCCAGTATACATTGCTACATTTATAGTCTGCTTGCCTATATATCACAAAACCAGTGTGTAGAAAAGTATTAAATTTTTCTTTTTTAAATTATATTTTATATTTGTTTTTCTTTTTCTTTTCTTTTTTCATTTTTTTATTCTTTACTTTTTTCTTTTTTTAATATTTTCCTTTTTCTTTATTTTTCATTTTGAAATTTACTATAAAGATGTTACGAAAGATTTATTATTCAATTTATATATCATATTATTCAATATATTGTATTTATTGTATATATTATTATATATCATATTATTCAATTATGTATTATTCAATACATGTAATCGTAAGCAACGAGTAAAAAAACTTGAATATCAATTTTATTTCAGTTTTATTCAGTATATATTATTATATTTTATCAAATATTATATATTAATATAATATAAAAACAATTTATAGTATTTTTAAGAAAAAAAAATAATATGTTTTTAAATTATAAATTAAAAATTAAATATCGATACAAAATAAACATATGAATTGTATCATTTTAATAGACTAGGAATTTTCGTCAAATGTTTCAATACCAACATAAGAAAAATGCATAAAAAAACTAATAACATGGAATTCTAAATATATATATTTATAGACATAGTTTCAGATATTACCTTGAAGTAGAGATAAAATCATGAAAATTAAATGAAAATTAAAAAAAAATTTTAATTATTATTAATTATTATTAAAAATATAAATTTTATTTTGCTTTATTATATTATATCTTATATCTAATTTTTATTTTATTCTTATAATTTTAAACATTATAAATAATTTTAAATATGTTTATTAATAATATATAATATATATCTTTTAGAAATTACATAGATTTTTATTAAATATAAATTTAATTTCGAAAAAATGAAATTTTAATTGAGATGTCTATTTATAATAATCTATTTAATCTATAATTATTTCTTTATAATTTATTTTAGTTTTAAAAAAATAGTAAAAATAATATTTAGAAAAAAGTTATTTATTTTTGTAAGTAATTATTGATTTTAAAATAAAATAGTTTTAATGTTTATTTCTCATATAAGATTCAAGATTGAGATAGGATATTATGAAATATATCTTTGAGTATTACATTTTTATCATTTTTTATAATTTATCATATAGCATATTTTTGTTGCACCAACATTAATAATTAAAATTAATTATAAAATTTTAAAAATTATTCACAAAATAATATTTACAAATATGTAACTTTATGTAACAGTTTCTAACATATGTTTGATAGTCCACCATTTTGAATTATCTTTTGTCTAGTGATGTTACATTTTTCCTATTATCTTTGTTCAATTTGACTTATGAATCTATATAGATTGTGCTTATAAGTATATATGATCTAAGCATAAACTTATAAAGAAAACAATAATTTGATTTATCTCAATTCTCTAGGTAGTCTTCATATAATTTGATATTAACTGGTGCTTAGTTATAATATAATCTAAATAAGATTCTTATTATTACATTGTAGTGTAGTGATGAACATTTATTTGATTCATTGATTCATAAAAAATTCATACAAATATATAAATTGCTTCAAAAACATAATAAAAGCAAAAAAATTGGTATCATGCATTTTTATAAAAAATAAAATAGAAAATTTAATGCTTGATATAAATTCTGTTCAATTTTTTTTTGGTAAATTTTGTTTGGACAATTATTTACAAAAGGTGATCTCAATTTTATGAAATTTTGGATATGTGTAGAGGAAGAGGACGTGAGTAACATGTTCTTTGTTTAAAGCATGAAACAATTGCAATTTGAAACTTATAAAAAAATATTGTATAAGTTAGTTAATAATGTAACATAAGTTATTATGTTACATTGTTCGAATATAAATATTTAAAAATGAAATTATAAATGCATTTGTAATTGCAATTAAATTGTAATATAATTATAGTAAATTGATTAAATTAGATTTTTTAGATGTTCTGAATAGATTCCCCTGTAAATAAAAAATTGCAAATTTTGATTAAAATAATATACATACATTTTTTACATATAATTTAGCTATATTTCCGAAAAATTATAATCTAGCCTAACCATACTTTATATATGTATATAGAATTTTTAAATACTTATATATTTAAAACTTATATTCGAATAATAAATATAATATAAATATAGCTTTTTTTTTAAATAACTTTTAAACTATGATTTTCCCATGCTTTGAATAAAATACATCTATTACTCATAATTTTTATAATATATAATATAAAATTTAACAAAATTTTTATAAATAATTATATACGTTTTATTTAACGTTATTATTTTTCTATATATGTTATTATTGAACAAATTGATAAAAAAATTTATTATAATACTTATTTAATCCTTTAAATATTTACACTATATAACTACAGTTCGGAAAAATAATGTTTATTTATCACAGGAGAGATATTGAGAATTGAAATTAATGAAGTGTAAATATAATATAAATATAATAAATAGAAATAAAATCGTTATTCATTTCAAATATAATATGCATCAATAGCAATATTGATATCAGTGAAACTAGTTTTTCAGAAATTAGTAATTATTTTTTAATGTTAATCAGTATTTCATTTCATTTAACTTTTTTGATATCATGTGTTATACGTATATTTACTTACAAAAATATTCAAACTTACATATGTTTAATTTTAATGATTATATATATATATATTATTTGTTTGTTAATTAAAAAAGAAATTAATTCAAACTTATTTTTTTCAATAAAGTATTTATTATACTTTACAATAAATATAACCAACTTAGTTAATTAACTTGATAATAAAATAATATTAAAAATTAAATATAAAAAATTATAACTATTTTTTTGCATTGTAAAAATATTTGGACTTTTTAAAAATCTACAATAAAATAGCAAATTTTTTATAAAAATTAAGTATGATTTTTATATCTTTTTGATTTTATAATTATATTTTAAGTAATCTAAAAATTAAATATTAAAAATTATTTCTAAAAGTTAATAATATATTGTATATTTTATCCTTATTTTAGATGAATTTATTTCTTTTTTTTTAGTGTATTTTGTTATTTTTTATCAATAGTTTGAGCATGAGAATGTTTATATAAGATTCCTCAATTAATTTAAAAATACAATGTTCTTGAATATTCTTGTGAATTAAATATGTATTTTTCTTTGGTTTATTTTGTAATTCTCAAACAATAAGTCACCTTATTTTTTATTTTATATATTCTATTATAAAATTATATGTAATAATTTTTTATAACATTATATAATATATAAAGTCTCAGAACATGAAAAATCTGTTGATTTATTATTTGAAAAATTTTTACATTATGTTACAGGAAAAATAATTATAAAAAAAAATTTTTATATTTACAAAAATATTCATAACTCACATTTAAGTTAATGAATTCAATTAACAAATATTATATATTATGCAGTTATATGAATATCCATATGCTAATAATTGGACTATCGAATGAATAAAAGATAATAATACATACTAAAAAACATAAATATATAATAAATATAAACAACATAAGATATATAATATATTAAAATAACAAATTAAAATGAAAATAAAATATAAAATATATTGTTAATAAAAAATGATCTAATATTTTTGATATAATATCTTAACTCTTGATTATTCAAAATGTTATGATTAATTAAAAAAATATTAAATTAATTATTTTAATTATTTTATTATAAATTTTTAAGAATCTGAATATTTTTTGACGAAAAATAGTTATTACTTCAATATTTAATTTTTCAATATTTAATATTTATAATATTTAATTTTTAATATTTTATTATCAAATTAGTTAACTAAATTAACTATTGCTTATAAATTAATTAAAATTAACTAAATTGTTTATATTTGTAAAATATAATAAATATTTTATCGAAAAGAATTCAAGAATAAATACATAAATTTATTTTCATTGTAAAATATTTTTATATATTACTTCTATATATCAGACAAAAATAAATTATTATTAGTTTACAATATATTGTTTTTAATTATTTTGAGTTGCGAGTAATCACAGTGTTTTCTTAAACAATAATAGCAGAAGAATAAACTGACTCTTTCGTAATTAATATTATAAATAATATTGTTTATAAGTATTCATTCGTTTTGCATTTTTATGAATGTATAGTTATGTATTATTTATAGTTTATTTATTAAAATTATTATAATATACGTATATTAATATCAATTTTTTCTTTTTTATTAAATAGGAATAAAACATGCATTTATGTTCATCAAAATATTTTCAAGATTGCTATAAGATAGATAAATGGAACTTTTTCATTTTTTTTTTTAATAATATAGTGTATGTGATATATGGTATTGGTTATTATTCAAATAAATTTATTTAGAATATTTTATTAATATAGATAAAAAATTATGATATATATAAAAATTATTTAAATAAATACTTATCAATATATATCTTGAGTGATAAATAAATATAATTGAAATAGATACAATTTATATTTAAAATCATTATATCAAATATTGGATCGTGTAATAGTTCTCAGTTCATATACAATATTATTAAATAAAGAATTGATATTTTTTTGAACTTCATAAAAAATCTTTATTTCTTTAACAAAAATTTTTTACAAACACAGCAAATTATTATTTATATTCTATTTATTTAATACCATATTGTTTTCTATTGATCATTTATTTGAATATGATATTGAAGTAAACTTATATATATACATATATATAAATGTATAAGACAAATTCTTCAAAATTTTGTACATGTAAAAATAGCGAATATATAGATTTTCAAGAATTTTTTCAATATCAGTTTATTATTATTGATGGTATTCAATTATAAAAATAAAAATTATGAGATTTTCCATCCA